CTACCGCATCCCAAAACCAGTCCAGCTCGTCCCTGCCTCCCTAACCTGTTCTTCCTCCCACCTATCCCCTCCTCCCACCTCAAGCCGCACCTCCATCTCCTACCGACCAACCTCATCCCGCCCCCTTGACCTGTCCGTCCTCCCTGGACTGACCTATCCCCTTCCTAACTCCCTACCTACACTCACCTTTCCTGGCCCCATCCCCGCCTCTTCGACCTGTTTGTTTCCTCTCCACCTATCCTCTCCTCTATCCCTCTTCTATCCGCCTCCCACTCTCTCCCTATTTATTTCAAAACCCCCTTCCCCTCCCCCTTTTCTGATGAAGGGTCTAGGCCCGAAACGTCAGCCTCTCTGCTCCTATGATGCTGCTTGGCCTGCTGTGTTCATCCAGCCCTGCACCTTGTTGTCTCGTTGCTAAGTAAGTGCTGCTTGATAGCACTGTCAATGACACTTTTCATTACTTTGCTAATGATTTCGAGTAGACTGATGAGTTGTAATTAGCCAAATTTGATTATTCTACTTTTAACTTGCCAGGGCATTTGTGGTGTACCTGTAATGGACAAATTTAGCAGTGAAAGAGATAATAAACTTTCCCTTTAACCTACTTTCCTTCCCATTCTCCAGAGTGCTTCATCGTCCTTTCAGGTGAAACTTTGTATTTCTTTCACCTTTACATTGGGGTGGCCTGACACATGGCATTACCACTTTGTGGAATGTGCTGGTTCAGTTTACAAGATTCATCCAGAGCTTCAGGTCATCTAACATTTAAATTCTTTGTCCTATTTCCACCCTCACATCTTTCCTCAGCCTCACACACTGTTCTATTCAAGGCTGACGTACAAATTTTTAATTAACCTGTTTGGCTGTGTTTTGATACACATCAAGAGCAGGCAAATCTTGAATGTGTGCACAAAAGCCCCACTGAAGCCTTAAGTAATTTTGAGGAATGATACCTTATCTTTCAAGCAGGCACTTATTTAATTCTTACCTCAAAATTGTGTTCAACAAATTTAGATCATAACTTCTGCCTTAAATGTTTTCGATGACAGATGTTCAACAGTCCACATCTGCATCCTAAACTCATTTATTGCTTCTTCATTTGTCCTTTTCATCCTTCATCCCATTTCTCTTAGGCCTCCCACAGATCGCAGGTATTCCCTTTATTTCCTTTGCAATCCTCATATATTTTCCTGCCCGTTTCCTATCTTGAAACCTGTCATTTCTCTCGCTTTGTTCCAGATCTGACACAGATATTGCTGTCTCCACAGGTATTGCCAGGCTTACTGAATATTTCCAATTTTTAAATTTTTATTTCGGATCCCCTGCGCTTGTAATAATTTTCTTTTGTATATGTTCCTCTACAACATTGCTTGCAGACTTGGAGGAGATGGTTTTACAAATGTAGAGGTTGGCTGGTGCAGTTGGCTGGATCGGTGGTTTACCATGCAGAGCGCTGTTATCAGCGTGGGTTCAATTCCCTCACCAGCTGAAGTTACCACAAAGGACTTTCTTCTTCAACTTCACCCTTGCCTGAAGTATGGTGACCCTCAGGTTAAACCACCACCAGTCATCTTTCTCTAATAAGAGACCAGCCTTGTGCTCCAGTAGGACTATGGTGACTTTACCTTTACCAATGTGATAAAGAGCATTTCCTTCAGGACCAATAAGCTGTTTTGTAAATAAGACCCATACCTGC